ATCTCCAGAGACTCTTGCTTTTATTGTTATTATTGCCATGCACACTCATCTTGGGTGAAGGTTCTTTCTGAGTTTCTGGACCATTTTAAGGCCTCCAAACCATCCTCTTTACTATGAGAACGTCTGCAGTTGGAGACTTTCCCAGTGAGATATTTCACATCCCAAAATGCCCATCCTCAGCTCCCAGCAGTGTGGCTTGTGCCACACAAGACATCTGGAGAGCACTTTCTCCTAAGACAAGAAGAAACAGGTGCTTTCTAGAACTCTTCACTCTTGGGGTTCTCCATCCACAAAGCTCCAGCAGGAAAACTTAACCCTAACTTTGAGACCTGCTGGATTTATAGAGGACAGGAAAAAAGCCAGTCCCTCTACAAGGTTGAAGTATGGGACTGGAACACAGCTGTAGTCTCCATGGGGATATTAACAGCTGTGGCAGTGACTGCATGATCAGTGGGTAGAAACAACTACTGTAGCAGAACAGTCCCAATTGTGTCATCTTTCCAGGGAAGTAAAAGTGAATGGTCCTTTCTAGTCCCTCTATAAGGCTGCTCTTGGAGGCCAGAAGACTGCCCTTCTCAGCCTGACCTTCTGGGCTCTGCTCAGTGATTCCTCCCTCCTCTGTTTGCAGGTGGTCAAGATAGCCCCGGAACCGGTTCACACTGTGGTGGAGGACAGCAGCCAGGAGGTCGAGGTGTACCTCAGTGCTGTTGTTGGCTACCCCGAGTTGAAGCTGAACACAGTGGTGGTTCAGTTCAAGGATACCTTGCCCTTCCACACAAGGACAGCCACGTGAGTTCTGGAGGCCTGCCTTTGCCCAGGGCCGGCCCAGTACCTGCTTCCCAGAACTCTGCCCCAGCCCAAACCAGCACAGGCCCATTTACGTGCACACAAAGCCAAGCAGGTGTGGTGGTCAGGAGAGGTTCAATGCTGCCAGACCTTTCTGCTGAGAGCAGCCATGACTTTGCTCACTGCATGTCACCTTTCCTCATCTGCTCAAGAATAAGTTTGCAGTGAAACCAAGACCTAAAGGCCAGAGTAAGCCCCTTAGCTTCAATGTCCTGGGCACCATGTTGGCCCTTTCCTCTTAAACTTCCAGACTTGAAATACTTTTTTGGGCCACCCAGGACAGCAGTCTGAGCATGGCAGGGTTGCCTGGGGAAGAAGGTGTTCCTCATCAGGAAGTGGTACCAGGAGTCTATCAGACAATATTACTGTACTATTTGCTTTATATTTATTGGACATTTTTTGTTATTCCTCTTTCTCGCCTTTCAGTTTAAAGCTATGCAACACAGGGAAGGTAGCCCTGGAATACTACTGGGAGGAAGCTGCAGGGAGTGAAGCAGTGAAGATGCCACAATCAACTGCTCTGACAAGTAAGGGCATTTCACTTGGTAGCTGAGGGCCTGGGGAGAAGACCCTGCCACTTCTCTCCAAAACATGAATTGCTTTTCCATCCTTGTCCATACGTCCACTTCCATCAGCATCTTCCCAGCTGCAGCTGGAAAGTTTTCTCCTTGCCCCCATCTGCTGTTCAGCCCCTTCTCTTCTTGCTCTGCCACTGCTGCTCTGCAAAGGAGCTGAGCCAGGCTCTGGGGAGAGCCACGTGCTGGGTCAGGACTGGGAATGGGGACATCAGGTCACCTCTTGAGAAGTCTGAGACTGGGAAAAACAGTGATGTAACAAGTGAGCTGGAGTGGGGAACTGCAAACAAGCCACTGTCTTGTGTGCAGTTCCCTACTCCAGGGCAAATGCAAAGTCACCATCTCAATCCAACTCTCCTGCTTTGGCACAGGAGTTTGTGCTGCAGGCAGAGGCCGTGCTCCCAGATGCTCTATTTCCAGCTAAAAGTACTTGGCCAGTGATGCTCCAAGTGCATCCCAGCTCTCTTCCACCAACCTGTGCAGGAGGCAGAGTTGCTGGGAACACAGGATTTTGTCTTTGAAAGGTGTCCTCTTCCTCTCTGCAGGTCAGTTCCTCTCCTCTGAAACTTTAAGGCATTACAGAAAGCTGCTGCATCGTTTTGGATTGCAGCAGGAGCATCCTTTTGAAACTCATTCTTCTGAGCTGGAGCAGCTGCAGCAGCTTGCCAAGCAGCAGCAGGATTCCAAGCAGCCGCAGCAGCCTGAGCAGCAGGACCATTCCAAGAAGCTACGCCGCTCAAAGTGTGATGGTTCCTGCCTAGAAATCTTCCCAGATGTCATCCCTGACCTGCCACTGTTCTCCATCAAGCCCTACCATGGCATCCTTGCTCCTGGCCAGAAGCAGACCTTTTATGTGCGGTTCTCCCCGAAGCGCGTGGGGATGTTTAAGACCACCCTGCTGTGCAGGTGGGAAACATCGAGCACTTGCCAACTCACGCTTCTGACGGGTATCACTGGGTGATCACAGGGTGGGACAGGGTGGAAGGGATCACAGTAGGTCACCTGGTCCCACTTCCCTGCTCAAGCAGGGTCATCCCAGAGCACATGGCACAGGGTTTTGTCCAGAGGGCTCTGGAATAATTCCAGTGAGGGAATTATTAGGGTTACCCTCTCTGGGCAACTTAGCACCTGCACAGGAAATAAGTTCTTCCTCAGGTTCAGGTGGAATTTCCAGTTCAGGTTCTGCTCATTGCCTCTTGTCCTGTTGCTGGGCATCACCAAGCACAGCCTGGTTCATCCCCTAACATGCTCCTGTCAGTCCCCCTGACTGGGATGGGGAGGTGGGCCTGGAGTCAGGCAGCACCAGAGAGGGCAGAAACACCCACAGGAGCACAGAAAGATCATCATCTGGCCTTGGTAGGGAGACACTGGGAAAAGACACTGTGTGAAACAGCAAGCTCCTGGAGGGTTGCAAATCTGGAACAAGAGATCCAGGAACCTGCCAGTCCCTAGCTCTGCTTCCTTTTGGGACAAGCAAGGCCTGCTTCTCTACATGGAACCCCGTGTGCTGTAGTTGGTCCCCAGGGATTTAACTGGTCACATTCCTGCCCTTGCACCTCTGCAGCCTCTGTGCAGTGAGAGCCGTTATTTAATTTGCTGCTCGCTGCATGCACAGAGAGAGGATGCAACACTGTGTGCTCTGCAAGTTGCAGAACAACTGGCTGGGAATGTTTGTCTGACCAGTCCCTTTCTTCCTAGGTTTCCTAACCTGGAGCTGGCTCAGAAGATAGGGCAGGTGACTGTGAAAGGCAGAGCCCTGGAGCGGAAGAGTCTTGCTAAACAGAGACGCTCTGCATTAGAGCAGACAGAGAAAGACCAGGGACTCAAGAAGCAGGTGCTCTGGAAACCAGCATCCGAGGGACAGTGTGTGTGTCAGCTGGAGCCTCCTGCAGAAGCCACCAACATCGTGCCTTCTGCGGATGATGGTCTCCCACCCTTCACCAGAGCCCTCCACAGCTACCCTTCCAAGCTTCAGTGAACACCTCTAGCTTACCTTTCAACTACCTACATTAATTAACTGTTTATTAGATGGAAAACAAACTCATAATTGTCAATTAATTGTCAATTGTTAATAAACAATTGTTAATAAATTGTTAATCTTCAGCTTGTCTTGCTTTGAAAGACAGGTGTCTGCAGGACCTCTCTGGAATGGAGAATGTGACTCCTTTCCCTGCAAATTACTATAACTTTGAAATTAAGGGGCTTTCAGGCAACAATATGGGAAAAGGAGTAACATTCTTTGCCAGTATGTATAACAAGAGAAACAAACAACAACAGTGGCAGCAACAACAAACAGAACCAGATACCCAACCACAGCCCTCCCTCGGCTGCAGGTACTTTCCCTTTGGTGAAGTTCCGATCACAGCCAGGCAGTAAAGGGAGGCAAATAATGAACAAAGCAATTACTAGAGAAATTTTAATTAAGCTGCACCAAGGAATACACTGGAGAGCTTAAGGACCGAGCTCTGACACGTGGATCACATTGATTGTGTGATCAATTCTGAAGAACTTAGTGCTGTGAGGGAGTCGATACAGTAGCCAAATAGTGACTGGACAATGTTTGAGTTGTTAAATAAGTGATGAGAAAACACCCTAGTGAGGGAAGAGCCCTAGCCCTTAGACCCTTTCAAAATATGCAAATGGATTACACTGAGTTCCCCAAAATACAGAGATGGAAATACCATCTTGGAACAGCTGATCACCTCACTCACTGGGTGGAAGCCTTTCCTATCTCAACTGCAACTACCTCCAAAGTGGCTAAGATGCTATTAGAACAAATCATCCCCAGATATGGGATAACTGAAAGAGTGGACTCAGATAAGGGGACACACTTTACTTAAAAAATTTTACATTCTATGTGTTGTATTAGACATAAATTGGAAATTCCATATCCCGTGGCACCTTCAAAGCTCTGCATGTGTGGAGAGAATGAATGCTATCCTTAAGAACCATATTACCAAATTAATGATTGAAAGCAGATTAACATTATTACGGATCAGAACTGCTCCAAGAAAGGTCACAGGAGTTTCTCACTATGAAATGTTACTTAGATTACCTTATCTGGGAAGGGAGGAGGGGTTGCCAATGGCTGAAACTAATGACTTATATCTCAGAAATTATTTGCAGGCAATTACACTTTCTCTCACGGATCTTAGCAGAAAAGACTTGTTACCTCAAACATCACCTCTAGACTTTCACATACACCAGGTAAAACTAGGAGATTTGGTTCAAATAAAATCTTGGAAAGATCATACCTTAACAGCAGCATGGAAGGTCCCTTTCAGGTACTTTTAACAACTGGAACAGTTACCAGGACTGCAGAAAAGGAGTGGTCAGTCTCATGCCGCTCCTCCCCAGTGATAACTTGGACAGTGGTACAAGGAAGTGACCCATTAAAGTTAATATTGAAAAAATCATTTAATAGTGAACAGTCAAGGGCAGAACTGGACTGCCCTCTGTATTTGCCACCAGAGAGCCTTTTGCTCCACTGTGGGCTGCAATCCCTCGGGTGTTGAGCAGTGGGAATATAAGGCAAACCAGACCTTGGCAAAAGAGGAATAGGAAATGGTGTTTTAAGACTCTGCAAATTGCTGGATGGAGTGTCATGGATCCTGTGCTTCACCTCTACATCCCTGCAGTGTGCTGTTCTAGGGGACAGAGCTCAGGAAGCAGGCGTGGATACTGAGGAAGGTAATCTTTGATGCTGCAGTGACAGTCTGAGGTTTGCATCATCCGAGCAAGCACCGATGGAACTGCTGATGGAGGCACTGCATACAAGTGTATCTGCATCCTACTTTACTTGAGTTGTAAGAGAACTGTGGACAGCAAGGTGAACTGACAAATCAGGAACTTTCAAATGACTGAATTTAGCACCGACCTAATAAAAGACTGATTAATCTTATTTATAACTACTTCACAAAAGGAGCCAGTTTGTGCTG